CAGACCCTCATATCCCTGGGTTATTTCTCTTGGATGTCTCACAGGCATCTCAAACTTGGCCTATTCAAAATTACCTGCCTGATCTTTCCCCAAATCTCCCTCCCCGCTCAGTACTGCCCATATCAGATAATAGCACTCATCCATCCAGTAATCCTGTCAGAAATCTAAGCATCAACCTTCCAACTACCTTCTCCTCAAGTCTTACAAACCAATCCCTTGCCAAGTCCCTTACCAACATCAAGATAAATCTCGGGTCTACCCACTTCACTCCATCTCCACTCCCAGCATTTATCCAAGTCACCATCCTCAGCTATCATGTAACAGTAACATTTAATGGGTGCCCTTGCTTCCACTCTTCTGTGCCAGCAGCATTGGCACTCCCACCAGCAAGTGCCTCTCTCCTCTGGATAGTTCTAGACTAAAATACCTGCTCTCCTTGTTCTTTCCTAAAGTTTTTTTTTTAACAGAGATTTTCTTTCTTTCTTTCTTTTTTAAGACTTTTTATTTATTTGAGAGAGAGAGAGAGAGCATGAGTTGGGGGAGTGGAGGGGCAGTGGGAGAGGGAGAAGCAGACTTCCCACTGAGCAGGGAGCCCGATGTGGGGCTCAACCCCAGGACCCCGAGATCATGACCTGAGTGGAAGGCAGACGCTTAACCAACTGAGCCACCCAGGTGTCTGGAATCTGAAACAGACTCTGGGCTGAGTGTAAAGCCTGATGCTGGGCTCGATCTCACCACCCTGAGATCACGACCTGAGCTGAAACCAAAAGTGGGACGCTTAACCAAAACTGAGCCACCCAGGCTCCCTGTTCTTTTCCTAACTTTCCTTGAACTTTGTTAATGGCAGGTATGTTACTAGTTCCTTAGGGAGGCCCATTAATCTCATTCACTGCATGTGGAATTTATTAGTTTAACTCTCATTGGTAACCTTATTTCCAAGGTCTGCAAGAAACTTCATAGTTTCTTTTTTTCTTTGTTTTGTTTTTCTTTCTTTTGTTGTAAATAACCAGGTTGGAGTAACGTGAACAGTTGATGACCAAATGTAACGTGAACAGTTGATGACCAAATGAAACCAGGATTTTACAACTCTCCTGACCTTTAGAAAACTAAGGCCCTATGGCACACTTTACTTGTTAGTACACACTGTTATCTCTACCTGAAGTAACCCAGTGTTTATGATAGGATACTGCCTGGACTAAAGTGTCCCTTTTCCTAGATATGTGACCCTGGAGGATATACATCCTGTGATTTAATTTTTAAATTCCAATAGGAAATTTATCAACAACTTGTAGTTGTATTCAATGGAGACTGCCTCAAAGTGCTGTGCTGTATGGGAAAGTTAGGCAGGCCACCAGCAAAGGCAAAGCCAGCATTTTATGCTCTATTCAGTAAAATGCCTAGAAAAATCTGTTCCTTACCATCATGAATGCTGGTCTGTGTTAGGAAATTATGTAGAAATGTCACACCAAATTGTTTAAATACTATTATAACAACTTGCTTTTTTACTTTAAAAATGTCAGTTTCTTAAGAATCCTTATCAACTCCCCCCCCAAAAAAAGAATCCTTATCAACTCCCCCTTTTATTTTTTCTTAAAAGGCCCTCAGTCATATTTCTGTATTTGTCTCCTGCCTTTCCAAATCTCTTTACCCTCAGGCAACAACCTTCAAGTCGGTTTCAAAATGTTATTGCTCATGAGAAAACAAATACCTCTCCAAAGTGGGGCCATTCTGTCATATTTTAGCGTCAAACCTCTGCTTTGGTTCTGGTGTTCTGTTTACTTAATTTAAAAGTCGGTGAGTGTCTACTTCAAGTGGCCCTCAGCTCTTAAGCCATTCCTAGGGCTTTCTCCATCGTCAGCTTCACCCACTGGAAAGCCATGCTTGGAAGACTGTGAAGGAACTCCACAAGGCAAGGTGGGAAAGCTGAGTTTTAAGTTCAGGTGCATGAGTGAAGCCAGGTAACCCCGAGTTAGTCCATCTCTCCAAGCAAAGCCTGCTCAGAAGCTGAGTGCCGGAGGTGCGGGTGGGACCTGCCAAGTATAGTCTAGCCTTGTGGGATATGTCTCAAAGTAATAAACATGACGGACTCTACGTGTCCCCTACAAAAATCCATCTCATTGCTTTGTCACACCTTACCCCCTTGCCCTGACACATACTTTCATTTTTACCATTATTGGGGTTCCAGAGCTTGATCCATGTTTATCATCAAATCTTTTTTTTTTTTGAGCTCCTACACTGTCCAAAACACTTTACCAAATTCTGTTTTTACAAACGAGGCCTTGGTGAGGGTTCTGGAGAAAAAGAAAATTGGTGAGGATGTAGAGAAAAAAGAACCTTCATGCACAGTTGGTGGGAATACAAGCTGGTGAGACCACTGAGGTAAACAGTATGGAGGTTCCCCAAAATTAAAAATAGAATTATCATATGATCTAGGAATTCCACTACTGGGTATTTACCCAAAAAAAACAAAAACACTAATTTGAAAAGATATATGAACCCCTATGTTTACAGCAGCATTATTTACAATAACCATGATATGGAGCCAGCTTCAGTGTCCATCCATAGATGGATGAAGAAGTGGTATATATTTACACAGTGGAATATTACACAGCCATAAAAAAGAGTAAGATTTTTGCCATTTACAACAACATGGATGGCCCTAGAAGGTATAATGCTAAGTGAAAGAAGTCAGTCAAAGAAAGACAAATACCATGATCTTACTCATATGTGGAATTTAAGAAACAAAACAAACAAAGAAAAAAGAGACAACAACAACAACAAAACACCCTTAATTATAGAGAACAAACTGGTGGTTGCCAGAGGGGAAGTGGGTAAGGGATGGGTGAAATAAGTGAAGGGAATTAAGAATACACATATTGTGATGAGCACAGAGAAATGTATAGAACTGTTGAATTATTATATTGTACACCTGAAACTAATATAACACTGGATGTTATTTATACTTCAATTAAAAAAAAAACCAATGAGATGCTGGATGGAATGGATTATGTGAGCAATTCAAACAAATAGCAGTACTTACAGACTGAAATAAAATAAAATTTCAAATAAAAAAAACCAATGAGATGCACTACATGTAATGCATTAAAAATCTAAAAATTTTTTAGATTTTATTTATTTATTTGAGAGAGAGGGAGAGCACGAGACAGGGAGAGGGGCAGAGGCAGAGGGAGAAGCAGACTCCCCGCCGAGCAGGGAGCCCAATGCAGGGCTCGATCCCAGGACCCTGGGATCATGACCTGAGCTGAAGGCAGATGCTTAGCCGACTGAGCCACCCAGGCGCCCCAAAACATCTAAAATTTTTTAGAAACTGACCATATCAACTGTTGGTGAGGATTTGGAAAAACTGGAACTCTCAGCTCTAGCTGCACAGCTGCTGGGAATGTAAAGTGGTGCGATCACTTTGGAAAACAGTTTAGAAGTTCCTTAAATGGCTCAACATAGAGTAACAATGACCCAATAACCCAGAAGAAAGGAAAGCCTATGTCCACATCAAAACTTGTTCATGAATGTTCATAGCAACCATATTTGTAACAGTAAAAAAAACTAGAAACAACCCAAGTGTCCATCAACATGTATATGAAAAACACATTGTGGTACATCCATACCAAGAAATGATACTCAGCAGTAAAAAGGAATGAACTATTGATATATGTAACAACTTGGATGAATCTCAAAACAACTGCGGTAAGTGAAAAGAAGCCAGACTAAAAAAATACTGACTTTTTATACCATTTATATAAAATTCTAGAAAATGCAAACTAATCTGTAGTGAAGAAAGAAGAGCAATGGTTGCTTTGGATAGGGAGACGACTTTTGAGGAGGATAGATAATGCTCATTATCTTGAATGTGGTGATGGCTTCATGATGTACACATATATCAAAACTTATCGTAGTGTGTACTTTAAATATTAGCTGTTTACTGTATGTCCATTATACTTCAATAAAGCTGTTTAAAAATTAAAGATAAAAAGGAAAGTAAGATACTTAATAGATTAAGGGGAAAAAGAGAAAGAAATGAGGCCTTGCCCTCAGTGGCCTTCCAGAGCATTTGGGGAAGGGATGATTACAGGTAAAGTACGACTGTGACCCATTTGTGGGTCATGCAGTGAGTGCCACAGAGAGATATCTTCAAGGGCTGGGCACTGGGGAAAGTCTCCTGAAGGTGATAAAATGATCCAGCAGCATATCTGGGCATGGGGAGAGGCTGTAGGGAATGAAATCCTGAGCACTGTTCTCAAAGGAGGAAACGGGCTTTATGGACTTAGGCCTGTCCTGAGGGAAGCTCTCCCCTTGGAGTAAAACTTCACTCCTGAGGAAAGAGAGGCTTGAAGGAAGAATGTAGGCAGAAATCCTGCTTCTATTATAAGAAACAGAGCCAGTTAAGAGAGAAAGTGTTTGCAGATTCCATTTCATAGCTTCTTTACTCTGATGCATCAAGCCCATGGGATGGTACACCAATTCATTGATTCACTCTTAGTAGTACCAGGCACTTTGCGGGATGCTGCGGACACGGGGACAACGTGGAGGTTGCGTCAGTGTAGAGCCTGTTCCTCAAAGTGTAGACCGTGCCCTACCTGCAGCCTCAGCATTCCAATGCTAATACAAATACAGACCCTCCGGCCTCACCCCTAGGTAAGACCTAGACTTACCCTATCAGAATCTCAGTGCTGGTCCTGAGACTCTGCTCCACTTCGCAGAACTCCCTTCTTCTGCAGCTGAAGTCTGAGGACCTTGGTCTGGTGGCTGTTGCCTCTGCGGGCTACTTGAAGTGCATCAACGTTCCCTTGGATTTGAGGCTCACAGAAACAGCAGCGCCGGCAGTTGGCTGCAGAGGCCCGGGTTCCCCCCGCAACCCCCCCCAGTCCCCTCCCAACCTCCTCCCAGCCCCCACCCGAACCCCCTACCGGCGAAGGCCGGAGCGGAGCAGGGAGGCCCCGCCCTCCACACTAGCCCCGCCCCGGTTGTCAGGGGCGATGAAACCCCGCCCCGGGCCGGGCGTGCGCCTTTTCTGACAAGCAGGGCCTCCCAGCTCTTACCCTCAACCCTCGCGGGGCTGTCACCAAAACCCTCACGCGTCCTGCGGACTGCAGCCTCGACTCGGCAGGGAAAAAACGACATGGCGGCGGCCAAACCCGAGAACCTCTCTCTGGTGGTGCACGGACCCGGAGACCTGCGCCTGGTAAAACGGGAAGGGGAAAGGGAAGCCTAGCCCGACCCTGCCCTGCGGGCCTCCGAACTCAGCCGCGGTCCCAGCTCGCCAGTTGCAGCACCTCCGTGTCCCGGCCACCCGGATCAGAGCTGGTTACCATGTTGGGGGGAGGGGGCTGGTGGTTGTAAGGTGCTAAGAGGAAAGTTCTTGTCGCGTGCCTCCCGGAACCCAGCCCCGTGGCTGGCACGCGGCCAGAGCCCCAGATTCATAGTCTAGCCTCTTGTCATTGCACATCAAAAGACCAGGAGGCTGCCTGATGTAGGACATGCCTTGGACTTCTCCGGGAAGACAGTGCAGGGCAGAAAGGAGGGCCAGAGGGACATTTAAAAGCTGGGGAACTCGAATTTAATCTGTCTTGCCTGGGGCTGATAAAACCTCCTCTGCAGGATTATTATGATCACAAGAGTACCCAGCACTTATTAGGTACTCAGAAAGTGCCAGTTCCTGCCTCTTTTCCTTCCAGCACAGGCCTCCATCTCCAGGACTCCTAGTGTTCCCTGTGCCTATGCCAGACTTCTGGATCTGGATAGTGTCCATGTCTCTAAAGCTTCTTTCCTCTTTACCTCCCTTAGTCCACACTTGGTTCACTTTTCGGCCATTTTCCTCTCTGATCCGGCTCCCCTGTTTCTTTAAGAGCATTATGTGTATGTCTCCTTGGCACCATACCTTTCCCTCTGCTCCCTGGCTCATGGGGCCAAAGTCAGGGAGCTGCAGGGTTGGCCCTGTGGTCGTGTCAGGGGTCCCTTGACAAAGGCCATCTCAGATGGGCCTGGGATGGCAGTGGGTGTGTGCGATGGGTGCCAGCCATCTCTACTGCCCCCTGGCTCCTCCTTCCTCCTCAGAGAGAATATACATGAGGATCTAGATAGGAGAGACTCAGGAGATTATCCAGATTAGCAGTTCTTGACAATTTGAGAATCTGTGGTCTCTCTCCCCACAGAATGCAAACAGACTGAGTTTGGCAGCAATTTCAGAGATTTTGGTGGACTTCCTTTAAGTCCCTCCATCAACCCTCTGGAGGTTTGTGGACCCCAGACTACAAACTCCTGCCCTGAGCCAACTCTCCCATTTCCTGTTAAGAAAGTGCTGACCCCAGGGTGACAGGCTTGATTAGTTAACAGAGCCCAGATAAGAACTCAGGGGTTCAGGCTCCCATTCCGGTGCTCTCTCCACTCACTGTGGAGCCTCACCCAAGGTCCTGAATTAAAGTGACCCTATTAGTGTTTATTGTTCCCAACACCAGATGGTATTGTAAGAAAGGCAAAATGGCACAGCTCTGCAGCTTACAGAGTGATCTCCAACTCAGCCCTTCATTCCACAAACATTTATTAGATGAGAGGGTGCCTGCCACATGCCAAGCACTGGGCCGAGGGCTAGTGCCCCTACCCTCAAGCTGCTCTAGGGAGACAGACAAGCTGAAGTTAACAATGAGACAGTGTGACAACCTTGATGGAGGCTGCGCAGAGTAAAGACCTCACAGGGAGGGGCCCTCGGCCTAGGAAAGAGGTCCTAGAGGAGATGGGTGCTACCTGATCTGGTTCTTGAAGGATGAGTAGGAGTCATTCAGGCAAATGTAGGAACCAGTGCAAAGATATATGAAGTACAAGATTACAGGTCCTGTTTCCTGACCCTGCAAATAGTGTGATGTACTGAGTGGAGTTTGAAGCTGGAGAGGTGGACAGGATCTGCTTTTCCTGCTGCTCAGGGCCTGCTTTAAGTCATGAACCTGTAAGTAGCGGAACTAGAATTGCAACTCCAGGATCTGCTTTGCCTTAACTCTTAAACTCATGCTCTCCCGCTGCTCTACCAGATGACTTCTTTTTTTGTCATGCTCTCTAGAGCAAAGCCTTGAAGACTGGAGGGGCTGGGAAGCTCACCTTAAAATTGGTATTATGAAAAAATAATAGACATTTTTGAAGATTGATTTTATCAGCTTTGCCTTAGAATCTACACCCTGAATTAGGGAGGAATTGGGGTAGGTGTATCCTAAAGGCTCTAGAAAATACGACCAGCTAGAGAATGTTGAGTTGTGGGATTGGTACACTAAAAGGCTTCAGGGTGGATTCATGAGTGCCTCAGGTCTGTTTGAGAGTAGCGGGTGGTGGGATCATTTTACTAGACAAAAGAGTAGATTAAAATGATAAGATCAGGTTTGAGTTTAAGATGTGTCTGGGACATGACATCAAGGTGTCTTTGAGAAATTATCTTGGTTCTAGGGATCTGGGATATAGGGACGATTTCTTGGGCTGGAGATGTAAATTCAGGAGTCCTCTGCTTCTTTACTGAGCAGTCCTGCACCCCCTCCCCATGAAGCATTTGCGAATGTGTGTGTGTGTGGGGGGGGGGTTTGTCACAATGACTGAGGGGCAGACTTCATTCAGTTTACAGCACTGTCCTGCTCAACAAAGTATTGTCCTGGCCAAAGTAGCACCCTGGTGGGAATTTGTAGATGGATGAGCTTGCCTAGGCTGAGCGGGCCATGTAGATCAAGAAGGCAGCACGTGGAGGACATCACCCTGGAGAGAGCCCCACGCTCAGGGGAAGGGGCAGAAAGCCGTCAGCTGAGAAGAGTGACCAGGAATGCCCATGCTGCCTCAGAGATACCTGGGCCTCAACACAGACCCTCCTGGCCCCTCACCACTCCCTCCAGAGAAGGACCCCCAGCACCTCACACAGAGCCCCCTGACTGCCATAGCGCATCTCTGCCGCCTCCTGTAAGGCAAATAGATAAGTGGTTTGGGATTGGGGGGGGGGGTGGTACTATTAGTAAACCAGGAAGCAACAGGAGGAACAGTCCTAAGGCAGCTTTGGGAGCGAACACCAGTTCTCCGTTCTGTGGGAGAACCAAAATGAAATCCGAGATTTCCTGGCCATAGCAGACTGTGGCCATTTTGGCCAACCAGGGTCAGCGTCCACTGATAGAAATGGTTGTGCCTCGGGAACTCATGTGAAGGGAGTTGTCTGGGGACAGGCCATTTCTAAAATCTGAAGCAGGATTCGGAAGGGTTCTGAAGCAGGGAGCGAGGGCTCAACCCTGCCCGGTGCTGCCATCCCACTTCGGGTAAGCCCAGGGACCGGCCAACATCCATGGCAGCGGTCTCTGGGGGACATTTGACCTGCACCTCTTCAAACTCCTGCCATCGTCCACCTGCCAGGAAGGAAACCTAACACCTAGCTTCTTCCTGCCTATGGAGGAAGGCAGGAAGGATTCCCTTTACTTTCTTGGTGCTGGGGCTGCAGGGAAGGAAAAATTAAATTCCTTGCATACTGTGCAGCTAGTGATCCCCTTGGCCACAGCAAGGGAAGGGCCCTGGCAACTCCAGTGCTCCCTGGCCTGGGGATTCAGGTCTGCATGATGCCTCGGCTCTGGGCATTTCTAAATTGGGTGGTAAGTCGGAGAGAGAGTATGTGCGTGCGCGCGCGCACACACACACACACACACACACACACACACACACACTGACTGGTGGTTTATCTTTTGTAATGAGGAAAACAAAAATATGAGGGGGAAAAAAAGGACTTTTACTTTTCCATCCCTAGTTTAAATAGAGCAAGGGAGAGAGGCCGCCAAGCTGATGCATAAAGAGGCAAACAGCCTGTCAGCAAAAACTGTCAGCTCAAAGTGCAGCTCACTGAAGTCCTCTTTAAATGGAAACAGTAACAAAGTCACGAGCCAGGTTGAGGCCCAGAGTGGGGTTTAGTGCTAGCTCTGCTGTTTATAGTTGTGTGACTCGCCAAATTACTTTCTGCTTCAATTTCCCATCTGTATGATGGGCATGACAGGAGTTCTCATCTCTGGGTTGTGTGAGGGCTAGATGGTGTCAGGGAACAAGAATTCCTGTCCCCTCAAAGGTTCTAGCTGGACCAAGAATCAAATTGACATGAGACAGATTAACAGGAGAAAATCAAATTTTATAGTTTATATGTACAGAGAATCCACACATACATGGAAATGCCAAAGACAGGCAAAATGAGGCCTCTGTGTCATTCTGAACTAAGGAAAAGGAGTTAGAGGCTTGGGACTTCAAAGGGAATGAATGCAATTTGCAGGAAGATCAAAAAGAGGAAATGTTTGGTAAATAAATATTTCCCCTCCCACATAGATGGATTACTCAGATAAAATTTATCTGTGGTCAAGACCCCCCAATTTAGATTCTTCTTTGTAGTTAAGGGTGGGGCAAAAGTTTCTCCTGAGCTTGTAGGACCTTGATTGCCTTCAACTCAAAATAATCCACATGCCAAAATGGCCCATCTTGGAGCAGCCTGCCCTCAATCAGCCCTTACAATGTGATGGTGTCTGTAAAAGGTCCAGCACAGCTAATGACAGGAGGCTAGGGCCTAGGAGAATCAGACATTTAAACCATCTCAGCATAGGGGTGCCTGGCTGGCTCAGAAGAGTACAGGACTCTGGATCTCAGGGTCATGAGTTCAAGCCCCATGTTGGGTGTACAGATTACTTAAATTAAAAACAAAAACAAAAACCATCTCAGCATAAAAAGAGATAAAGACCAAGATCTTCAAATACATGGGCATTTTTTTTTCTTTTGTGTTATGTGGGCATTTTTTTTTTAAAGATTTATTTGAGAGAGTGCATGCGTGAGCAAGGCTAAGGCAGAGAGAGAGAGGGAGAGAAGCAGACTGTCTGCTGAACGTGGAGCTCTGTGCAGAACTTGATCCCACTGATGTAGTTTTGGAATGTTGGTGAGGCCTGGAGCCAAGGGCCAAGAAAGAATTCTTGAGACGTCTTTGGTGCAAAAAGGGTGATTTTATTAAAGCAACTGGGACAGGACCGTGGGCAGAAAGAGCTACTGCACTGGGGTTGTGAGGAATGGCTGATTATAAACTTGGGAGTTGGGGGAAGTAAGGAAAAAGGGAGGTGTCCAAAAGGACTTTCATATGCTAAAGAAGACCCTCAGGATACTGGAGGTCTTGCTATTGTTAAACTAAGGTAGTTTTTCCCTTAGCAAAGATAGTTGAAAGTTTCCTGGACGAATGTCACACATATCCCACCTAGGAATGTGGGGGGGGGGTTGGTTGTGGGGTGTCACCTTATGCTTCATCCTCAGCTTGCCTTCTGTTCCCTCATCACCACCACCCTGAGATCATGACCTGAGCCGAAATAGAGTCAGATGACCGACTGAGCCACCCAGGTGCCCCTATATGGACAATTCTTAACTGAATTATAATAAATGTGGGCCCAGGCAATAATCTTGTATTCATCTGTATTTACCAGTTTAATTACTTTGTGCCTCTTTGGTCAGTTTTGAGAAATCCAGAAGTTCCTTTTGATTGGGAAATGAATTCTATCTGAGTTACTAGTTCATGAAGTTGGGATATAAAACAGTCAGATGAGTTTTTCTCCACAGAAGCTGTTTTTGGTGGGGGGGGGCGGGGGCTGGAGGGGGCTTTGTTTTTTTTAATGCTCTAGGTTTCACTTGAAAGGTAAGGGAAACGGAGAGAATTAACATGTTGAGTGCATACTATATTATGGACATCTGCTGGGTGCTTTGATGAAGTGCTTCACAAACTATCCCAGATGAAACGCAGTTTTGTTTATATTTTCAGCCATGAGCCAATATGTTTGTATTGCTGTATTTTGATATTGCAGCAATGTCAAAATGTGGTAAATATTTCTAAATGCTCAGTTTCTGTACATATTGCATCACATATCAGTAGTAGGCCATCGACCACATTGAGTACACTTTATCTGCCTTACTCCTTTTTTAAAAAAAAAATTTTATCTATTTATTTGAGAGAAAGAGAGAGATCATGAGCAGTGGGGAAGGGTAGAGGGAGAAACAGACTCCCCGCTGAGCAGGGAGCCCAATGAGGGGCTCAATTCCAGGACCTTGGGATCATGACCTGAGCCGAAAGCAGACGCTCAACTGACTGAGCCCCCCCCGCCCCGGGCACCCTATTTGCCTTATTCCTCACAGCTCTGCCACATTTCAGGCACCAGCATCTGGCCAGGGAGAAGAAAGGAATAACGCAGCCCCCGTTTCCAGGGGGCTGAACACTGAGTTCGGGATGGGGTATAGTCAGATTTTTGTTTTGTGATGTAGAGGAGGAAAAATAATTTTCTCCCTGTGCTTCTAGGTTCTTGGCTGAGACCCCTTGTAATAGAAGATTAACAAGAGAAAAATAAACAAGTTTAATAATGGGTACCTCCTGTACCTATGGGAGGTATGATGAAAACTGAGTAATTTCATGAAATGGCCCAAGGTACCACCTTAAGTACCATTTCCAGCTAAAGAGAAAACATATTTAGGAGGCAAGAGGCACCTGGGATGATTCCAAGCTCCCACAGAGAGTTCTTCCTGAAGTATTTCCATGATTGATTCAGGGAGGTGGGGTGAGACCCGGAGGGGATGGACGGGGTTGGGGGGCGCATATGTATGTGATGTATTTCTGACTGGAAGTGAAAAAGGCTGGAACCCCGACGTAACTACAGGAAAGAATAGTTACCTCCACTCCCCTTTATCCCTTTGTTACTGTCAATCACAGAAAGGTAAGAAGTCCTGTTCAGGAAACCATGACTATGCCTGATGACAAAACTTTGGGGATGAAAGGGCTGTGGGGGTAAAAGTGAAAGCTAGGGATCTCAGGGGAGCTAAGAAACTGGTAGATGAAGAATAGGGTGCATGAAAGAATATCATCACCGAAATCTGAGACAGAAAAGGAGATTAAGTAAACAGAGGACTGTGGCCAGCGTCATTCCAAGGAGCTACAAAGAAAAGCAAGGTGTTTTTTTAGTAACCATGCTGCGATAACTTTCTAAAACATCATCTCCACAGCCATGCTTAGGATAACATTTACAGACTTAAGGGCTGATCTTAACACGGTCCTGTGCTTCTGCGGCATGTCTCCTGCAGAGAGCGGAGTCAGGAGCCGAGCTGAGTTGTAAGGGTGGTTAGAGACAGCAAGAAATAACGAAAAGGAGAAGTTGGTTTGCAGGGAGAGGTATTTAAGTTCTCCATAATGTGCAGTCAGCCACTAAGGAAAAGCCAGGCTGTCTGCATAGCACCCTCTAGTGTCTAGGAATGTCACTGCAGCTTTGGAGGGGTGGTAGGGCCAAAGTTGGCTCGCTCTGTCCCCTCCAGCAAATGTTTACAGTAGTAATCGCTAGTGACCCAGGGCCTACTTGGTGTGCCCAGCTGTTGATTTGAGCTTGATTCTTACCCCTTCTCCACCCCTAAATGGAGCTGCCTACTAGAGCCTTTACTGGGAAGGACAGCGTTCTGTTCCATGTTTGAAATAAAGGCCTCAGTCTTCAGTTTCAACTAAACTGCAGTTTAAAATTTCACCCAGTTTAAGAGAAACATAACTTTATACAGCAATCCCTGATGTTGGGTAATGTCAGAGATGGGACCAGCAACTTTGAGAAGGGTTTTGGTGACAGCCGGCTGTCCTGAATTGTCCATTTCTAGATGGATTCCCTCCCCCCGACCCCCTCCTTCCTTCCTTTCACGTGTAGCCAGTTTAAATTACTAACAGATGAAAAACTGCCTTGAGCACCTTTTCCCCACCTCAAGCTGCTTTGGATATAACTCCACCAGTGACCTTAGTGCTACGATGGGCAGATCACTACATCTCCCTGTCCTTCAGTTTCATCATGTGGAAAATGGGATAATAATAGAAGGTATCACATAGGGTCGTCATGGGGATGAACCGAGGCGATGGACATACAGCACTTAGCCCAGGACCTGGTAGAAAAAAGCTGGTCAGTGTTTGCTAATCAGCATTAGCATTGTCACTCTGGGCTTTGTTCCACTGGGGACAAGCAGGTCAAATTAGCATCAAGCTACTTCAACAGAAAGGCCAGTAATCTGAGGGGAGCGAGAACCTCAGACCTTCCTTGGGGTCTCTTATGGAGACTGGGTGTGTAGCAAGTGCATGCTCCCCCATGTTTGAGGCAGTGCACTGTGCCTGGTCACTGAAGAGACTGAAGCCATGGTCGTTGGCATCAGGGTTATTTTGTTAGCAAAAAAGCCCTGGTGTCATTTACTGCTACGTGTTAAAGCATCTGGGGGAGGCTTTCTGAAGGAGGCAAGCTTGGAGCAGTGCCCCTCCCAGAGCGCTCTGTGTGGACCCCAGCCCCAACCTTCTCCTCACCTGTCTGCCTGCTCCTTGCATCACCCTGGAAGGAGAAAAGGCATATTCCACCCTTGGGGTGCAGTGTGGTGCAGTGAGGCAGACCGGGGAATCAGGTTTAGTCTTGGCTTAACTACTCTGTGGCGGTATGACTTTGACCAACTTATTTCACTTCAAAGCCTCGGGTTTCTCGTCTGCACACTGTGGGCCATGTGCCATGATGTGTTTAAAGCCAGAACACGTCTGGTAATGTAGTTGGTACAGTGAACGTTTCACCTTCCTTCCTCTTCTTGGCTGCCTTCAAAGAATTCATAAAATGAACCCTTGGATCTGGCCACTCACTGCCCTTCCTTCTGATCACCATGAATTGCTCAGCTCGTTGGCAATGGGAAGAAGAGTTGGTTAATAATAATACTAGCCATGAATGCCAGAATAGCTCAGATTGCCTTTTGAACCCGGAGAGTGGCCAAAATGCAGGTCCTCTGTGTTCCCAAAGGGCCTCTAAAACTCCACATGGGAGGTCTCAGAAGAGAGGGCTGAGCGCTGGTCCGTCCGTGTGCTGATGTCAAGGGAAGAGTGGCAGCACGCACTCTCTCCAACCTTGTCTAGAGGTCAAAGCCCTCACATGCAACTACCAGATACCTTCACCCTTCTCCCTGTAAGAGTTTCCCAGACCAAACAAATCTGTATCTTAAGAATGTGGTTTTTGAGAAGGGAAGGATCTGATATGGAAGGCAGTCCAAACGTCCTTTCTGCCTAGGGGAGCATTTAGTACCCTTTTTCATCAGTCTAGGGCAAATGGCACCGGGAGGTAGGGTGGGGTGAAGTCAGGAATCAGAGGCAGCACGATTTAGTGGGCCCCCTCAGGCATCCACCCAGCTGCGATATGGCCTGAGCCTATGTTCATTCTAAGAAGAAATATTTGAATAGAACTCCACGTTGACTAAACAATTGAAAATATTTGTAAGGGAAAGTTATTATGCATGCTAAATGATTTTTCTATCTTTATTTCCTCTAGGAGAACTATCCTATCCCTGAACCAGGCCCAAATGGTAGGTCCTTGGGATACTCGACTTACATTTTATTGTTTCTTATTACTTACCCTGAAGACACCTGGGCATTGCTCGCTTACCCCACTTTGCCTACTGTTTATGACTTTGCCTCCAATTAAAAACTATCTTTCTGTTAGGCTGTCCACCTCGTCTGTTATCCACGACACGACGGGATAGATTCAACTTGACTGCCACATGAAATAAACAGTGATGGAGTCAGCAGAAGACTTACCATATCAGACTGCTGACTTGTCCCAGAGTTTTTGACATAAAATATCTTTCTGGACCAAAGGCAGAGTTGTTCCTCATTTGACCTAACCTAGAGTTGGGTTACTCTATCTACCATAAGCTGCTATTCGGGTGGCCAAATCCCGCCCTAACCCTAACTGGAGCTTTGAAAATGAGTGAGTCTACAGAGCTTAATTTCTGAATCAGAAAGAGAGGGTCACTATAGGAAGACTGGGACCTTCTGTCCAGTGAGGATGGGAGGGGCCGCATGGAGTGCGGCCCCACAGTCCTGATCAACCAGGCACAGACAGTGGGTGAGTGCTCTGGGGCAGGCTTCCTGCCACCTTTGTTTCAGTGCTCTGGCCTCTCACTGGGCAAGCCTGTAAGGCCCAGCTGACAAGCACATTTCCTGGAGTGGTGTGTGTACCTGGGGAAGTCATGCCCCCTGTTGGCTGGGGCAGATACCTGCTGACAGTTTTCCAATCCCTCCCATCCCTGGAGTCCCACTTCATAATTTGCAGGACTCTGAAGTGAAGCTGAGAGCAAGGGGAAGAGTGTCTATAGGTAACTGCTCCCATACCCAGCCACTCGGGTCTCCTCTCTGTCCTTGGTGAGTTGGGGATGTGCTTCCCCACCTCACCCCAGAACTGTAGCTTCTGTGCGAACTTCAGATTGAAGGCAGCTTTCCTGGAGCCTCCAGAGCTTTGTTACTCAAAGGTCAGCTAGCTTATTGATTTATAGTGATAAGCATAAAGACAATAGCTGTTTCTATCAGTGTTCAACACGTAATGTATATTTAGGGCTTAAGCATTTTCACCAAGATATCATGTTCAGAGAAGTGAAAGAGGCCCCTCACTGTGTCCTGAAAAGTTGGTATTGATTCTAGAAGTAGCCAAACAAGGGCTGTCTTGGACTCAAAGGACCCTGGTACTGTTTCTCTCTCTGACGCAGCATTCTGCTCTTACTTTCTTGTCTCTTGCTGCCCTTGAATTTGGAAGGGGAAATTACGGTAAATTTCAGCTAGCATCCTAGCAAGTCAAACTTAATCTCTTATTACAAATTGGTAACTTTTAAGAAAGGAAACTCAGATAATTTCCTCTACCTTGATCTCAGTCTTCACCCTGCCGTACCCTGCCATTTCTTACTCTGTCACCAAGGCCAAGGACAGAGAAGGTTCTACGGAGCCACACCTGGGGTGGATGGCTGGTGATTTGTGGCAAGGGCAGGGTGTAAGACACTTGAATGCACAGCAGAGTTTTAGGTCTCTTTGTCTTTCTAAGGCAGAGCTTTTTCTCAGGGAGATACTTGCAACATGGTCACCTTAGTCAGATGAGGCCACTAATCCTTTAGCACTTACTTTAGCAAAGGGGCTCAGTAGCGTCATTATTTTTAACTTGGAAAACTGACAACAACAATACCAACAAATCTCACTTATTCAAACCTGTGAAGGGGAAATACCCTTTGAAACCTTTGGATGGTTTAAATTAAAGCTACACCTTTAAACAAAACAACAGGCATGAAGAACAAGAGAGTTCACAAAGTGTTGCCAAGCCTAGATTTTGCCAGGCTTTCTCTCATGATAGATAAGAATCAGGCATAGCATATTAATTGTGTGGAATCAGTTATCTCCTAGAAAACAGTTTTTCCCTTAGATGGCTGATACATTTTTTCCTATTAATAATATCTTGTTTATGCAGTGTGTGAGAGTTCTCCAGAGAGACGGAACCTAGAAAGAGAGGAGAAAGATTTGTTACATAGATTTATTTATATATAGGTTTATTATATATGTCTATAGAGAGAGGGCTGGGGGAGATTTATTTTAAGGAATTGGCTCATGTGATTGTGAGGACTGGCAAGTCTGAAATTCATAGGGCTGACCAGCAAGCTGGAAATTAGATAAAAGTTGATGCTTCAATCTTGGAGGATTCCTTCTTCAGGAAACCTCAGTCTTTTCTCCTAGGGCCTTCAACTGATTGGATGGGGCCCACCCACATTAGGCAGAGTAATCTGCTTTATTTGAGAGAGAGCGAGTGAGCATGAGCAGGGGGAGGGGCAGAGGGAGAGGGAGAAGCAGGCTGAGCAGGGAGCCCGACACGGGCCTCGATCCCAGGACCCTGGGATCATGACCTGAGCTGACGGCAGATGCTTAACCGACAGATCCACCCAGGCGCCCCGACACCTACTGTTTGACCAAACAACTGAGCACCATAGCCTAGCTGAGTTGACACATAGCATTAACCCTCAAAGGCAACTATTTTGCTCTATGGAAGCTTTCTTGGCTTACAAGCCTTAATTGGTGTTGCTGGTTAGCTTGTTTTCCTCTGTGGTCTAAATATTGTACCTGGCCTTTGAAACCAAGCCAGAGGGTTGATTTTCCTGTCCTGAGGGGAAGCATGGTGGCGCCTCAGACTGCAGAGGGGTCGTTCCTCCCCTCACTTGTTCTCTCCTTCCTCTTATCAGAAGTGCTGCTGAAGATGCATTCCGTCGGGATCTGCGGCTCCGATGTCCACTACTGGCAGCATGGTCGAATTGGGGATTTTATTGTGGAAAAGCCAATGGTGCTGGGACATGAAGCTTCAGGGACAGTCGTACAAGTGGGATCACTGGTCAAGCACCTAAAACCAGGTCAGCAAAACCCTTCACCTAACTGATTTATTTATTCCTCAACATAAATGAATATTTGTGTGTACTTTCTTGGGGCCGGGCCCTCTATTAAGCCTGGGGGGGGTTTACAGCAGTGAGCAGGACAGTCTCCATTTCTACACACACGGACTGTAACCTTCCACGGAGGAAGACAGGTCTGGGACACACATACAGTTACTTAATTACCGTTGTGTTGAGGGCAACAGAGAATAGCGATGTGATCAGTGTCTTCTAACCAGATCCCTGGCTCTTCTGAGGGAGGAACAATTAATCCGACATCTGAAGGCAGTGGAGGGGTAAGCCAGGTAAAGGGGTAGGGCAAATGTTCCAGGCATAGGAACCACAAACTGCCTTCACCTGCTGAGAAACAGGGTCTTGGATACAGTCTTTGATCTTACTGGATGACTGGAAAACCACCAATACTTTTCTAGATTTGCTTCCTTCATTCTCTTGGAGGGAGGAAATCTCAGCTGTGGCAGCCTGCGATGTTACCCAACACAGTGAATTAAATCCCAGCTGTGTGACACGGCCAGCCATTGACTTTATCCTTCCTTTGCTGAGGAGAACACTGTACAGCCCGGAGAGGTCATCAGATTATTCGAGACAAGGAGAAGTTTGGCGGGAGACGCCATTCTGTGTCAGTTATAAGGCTCTCTGAGCGCAGCTGCACAGAGAGGAACGACCCAGCCCTGAAGAAGCTGGACTTGTGTTTCCCTTAGGAACATTGTCAGACCCTCCATTCATCCTGAATGGAAGTCAAGGCCGCCCCTGAGGTTTTGTGGAGTTATCCCAAAGAGGAAGATTCATGGTTTCCAATAGCCACTGATTGGTTCTTACCTGTGGGACGAGATCTCTTAATATTAGTCATAACAGAGTGGGGTTCTTTAAATTTAAGTTATGATAAGTGCTTAGATACAGAAAAATGAGAAGATCCGATCCCTGGATACTTTGATCTAGTTGGGGAGATCAGACGTCAGGACATACATAAAAACCACTAATTAGAGAATAAGATCATAGCGAGCTATCAGGTGTGAAAAAGAATAGGCTCTGGCAGTTCAAGGAAAGGGCATTTGTTGTGGGCAGAGGTGTTTAAAGAAGGCTCATGGAAGAGACAGGTCTTTGAGCTGGACGTTTAACAATAATAAGGCAGCTAAGACTCATTGATTTACTATTTGTTAGTCTCCATGTTAAATATTTGCATGTATAATTATGTATTTCACTGTTGAAACAACTCTGAGGTAGGCATTATTTTCTTCCTTAGCAAATGAAGAAAGCGAAACATGGTGACTGCCCAGGGTCACAAACTAGCGAATCTCAAGCTGGGGTACCGACCTTGGTCTTTCTGACTCTAAAGCAAGTGCTCAGAACCCCTGGGCTGTCCAGCAGCTGGAGGCCTGAGAACGGTTTTGTATTTGAGTTAGTGAAGAGGTCAGAAGCGAATATTCTGGTTAAGAGGAACAGAGTAGGGCGCCTGGGTGGCTCAGTTCGTTAAGCGACTGCCTTCGGCTCAGGTCATGATCCTGGAGTCCTGGGATCGAGTCCCGCATCGGGCTCCCTGCTCAGTGGGGAGTCTGCTTCTCCCTCT